GAGAAAAATAGGAAGCAAAGCTATTTTGAAATTGAATAAAGGGAAGGCATGTTTTTTTCCATTGCCTGGGGAGGGGGGGGGCAACCAATTTTGTTACGAGCAGAAAAAACATAGACACTTTAAACAGTCACAATATTTTTACAGATTATTATACATTTTTTGCTGCACAAAAATATTCAAGTTCAACCTTTCTTTCAACACTTTCAAAATTCAAATTTTTATAATATAAAGTTTATTGTATTTCGTAATTGTTAATAAACAACCAATGCATGCACTCAAATAGTTTTCTTCTTTGAATAACTCAACTCATCATAATGTATAATAGCAAAAAGGTAGCAAAAAATGAGTATGATATATTTGGAATAATATTTATCATTAATAAAAAATATCAAAACAACAGTTCATTTCAAAATAACAAGTGCTATTCAATAGCACCACTGCTCCCATGACCAACAACACTTTCATGGATCACCACTGTCATGGACAACACCAACATGGATCACATGATCACCACTGCCATGACTGACACTGTCGTGTCATCACCACTGTCATGAACAACAACAACATGGATGCCATCATCACCACTGTCATGGACAACACCAACATGGATCACATGATCACCACTGCCATGACTGACACTGTCATGGATCACCGCTATTATATACAACACCAACACTTTCACCAACTCAGTATCATCACCTTATACAAAAATACATGTATGTTTAAATATTTAGAGTAGTAAACAATATTCACTTCTCGTCCAGTTATACTATACTTTAAGTATTTACTTTTTGGTATGTGTTTGTTCAAGAATGGATGTTTCAGTTTTGCTGTTCTGTGCTTCGTTTAGTAAATTCGGATTTCCCAGATTGCGTAAAAAACATTTGCTGAGACATCTCGCTGAGCAATCAAAGACATTACTTTGCGCAAAAATATGTTCGAAGTCTTCAATTTCTGATAACATAAACACGGTTTTCACCCTCGCTTAATATGACACCCTCAAAAGCGAGTGATTCAAGTTTCCCTCGTTGGTTTACGATGGCTAATTCGCGTTTTGTACTATAGTTTGAAACAGTTTCGTGTGCTTTATTAGCTTTTTGGGGTTCATCACTGCTGTCCCTGGAATCTTACCGATATCGATTTAGTCGCCAATTCCGTAGCCATCGCCACTAATTAACACAAAGAAACCTTGTGGTGAAATAGTAATTAGCATAAAAATGTTTTTTTTTACCATTGTCGTCTTTTTTAATTATCCTTATTATTTCCCACACATGAGTGAATTAAACTGGAGCACCAATACTTGCAGTATGTCACTAAAGCAGTATAACACGAATGAATGATGCAACGCCCATTCCATAAATGTTCTTTTATCTCAAAGTAAGAAACTAGGTGATACTAATATCAGAGCATGGGTCTTATTTAGAAACTCCTGCCAGAGCAACTGCACAAAATGTGAAGACAAATTAGCATCTCCTAAGATGGTATTACCAGATTACCAGTTAAGGACATATAAAACATTCATTCCCAACATTGATGAACGGACCAGTTGCTACTCATTGCGAAAACTACTAACTACGATAACATAAATCAAAAATTCTTGGTGGGATTCGCTGTATTTTCGGATGATATCAAAGGACCCATGTCACCCTGCTTTGTTTTTGCTTGGAAAGGGGCAACGTCTCTTCATACTTTTGCGAAAACAGATTCCCCAGCACCCGGCTAAAAGAAACGACCAGTCCCTTAGTGCTATGAGTGGCCATGTTAGTAAAATTCTAATCAACAGATGTAAATCACCGATGTTATCATGG